CTCACGACAGTGATTGACTATGCAAGGCATGCGACCGCAGTGCGAGTCGCTGCCCGGTTCGGCCCGCTCACTGTTACTGTCTGCCTGTACCCTCTTGCTGGTTGGTTTTTGCATGAAGTTGGAGCTCTTTGACTGATACCTGGGGGCTCGCCTGGTCGCTTTGACGGTCGTCAGTTTGTACGGAATGGCATCAATTCCTCCTTGGCCACTTGGGGCTCGCCAAATCTGTCCTCGGGTTGTCTCTGTCCCACACACTGGATTCTTTTCCCTGACCCTTCTTCTTCGGTCTGCTTATATAGCTCCTCCTATTAGACCCTCCGTGTCCCAACAGGACCTGACTCCTTTCCAATCTAACCACCCCCTCTCTTTTCCCCATCTCCAACTCCACCGAGGATTAGGAAAGAGGTTCGTCGAACTGGCGCCTTATCCCCTTGCTTTCCAAAGACAAGGCCAGCGTGTTCTGCTCTGCCCGTGCCTAAGGTCACGGCCACACTCCCAAAAGCAACAGAGCTTTTATCTGTCGGATGCAAGGGCCTAATAATGCACTTGCATACAACACAGCACCCCTAAGGAATCGTGCACACATCCCATACAACCCACCAGGAAAACACATAGTTACATGAAATAACAGGGAGTTTGCAGGCAAGCTGGTGGTAATTAATCATAATGTAAACTGATACTGTAGTGCAGAAATATTAACACACTTTTAAGTCCCACTTAAGATACATTAGAATTGACATAGTTGCACACAGCTGTTTTCTTGCCTTTTATTTTAAAAAGTAAAGATTGTAATATGTTCCATCCTCTACATGTGCAGGTGACAGCGGCTACCCCTTGGAGCCTTGGCTCATCACCCCTGTCCCCGGGAACCACGCGACCTCCACCGCTTGCGGCCGGTTTAATAAGGCGCATTCCTCGATCAGGTCTGTTGTGGAGCGCTGCATCGGGCTGTTGAAAAACAGACTCCGGTGTCTGCAAAGGCACCGGGCTCTGTATTACCACCCTTCAACAGCCACCGCCATTATTTCGGCATGTGCAGTGCTCCACAACATCTGCCTTGCATCGAGCGAGCCAGAACCGGAGTCAGACTCCGACCCTGAAGAGTCAGAGTTGGAGTCTGAGCCGAGCTCGGACGGTTCTGAGCCGAGCTCGGAGAGGTCAGCGTCGGCTCCCGAGAGGCTGGCTCCTGCCGGCCCTCCGGTCGGCCTTCCGGTCGGCCTCTCGGACAGGGGGAAGGCTCTGAGGCAGCGCCTTGTCGCCCGGTTCGGAACCCGCCGCAGACGTGCCCGTGCGGAGCGCCACACGCAAGGGGTCCGCCGCCACGACGGTAGTTCCGACCACCAGGGACACCGTCGGGAAGCCCCTCAGCGCCCTCGCTGCGGTGGTGCCCAGCACGGACGCCGCCAGCCACAAAGAACCTCTCGCCACCACGACTGAGGTCCTGACCACCAAGGACCCCGTCACATCCTTGCCCTGAGTGAAGCCCTCCCCGTGGAAGCCGTAAAGTGCACACTTCGCTTCCTGCTCCACAGTCATGGCCGTCCACAAGCTACATACTCTCTTCAGCTCCTACACCTTGTGAAGTTCGTCGCACAGCCAGCGTGCTGCCTCCGGATACGTGTCGAGTGCATCGCGGTGAAATCGATACAGCCTTTTTTTTTAAAATTTTTATGAGCAGAAGGCACGAGACGTAGTCTACAGTGACAGAAAAGGTTCGGAGGTTTAGTTGCCAGACCAACAGGTCATCTGGATTGCCCCTGCAAAGAACTCAGAAGTAATTTAGACTACCTCTAGAAAGAAATGCTTGTTTTTGCAGAGATTGCTTTCTTAGTTGCTGATTGAACCAGGGATATTGTTGTCATGGACATTTTTTCATTTTACAAATGCTTCAAATCGTCTTGCCTTCTGCTCCATTTTATTATCTATTTTAGGGTACTTCATCAAAGTTAGGTGATTGTGCTATCGCAAGACAGTGCACATGTAGTTTGTTTTGAAAATTGCTTTATTTCTTAAAGAAAAACCTGTGACTTCATAAATAAAAGTGTGATAACATGGAATGTAATATTTCATTCTTGGAAGTGAAACTGAGCATCGACTGCAACCATGTAAGCAATTGGGCAATCTTAAGTATATATCACAGATATCTTGTTGAACACTCTGGTCTTATTTGAGCACAATAGTTAAATTTCGAAAGAAAAAAAAAAACATATATATTCTCTGACTAGCATACCACTATATAAACACTGGACCACTTTGAAAGAATTATCACAGATGTTGCGCCAAACATTCTTATTTGAGTACAGCAATAGCAAGTTCTCGAAAGATAAAAAAATTGTTTCTGACTAAAGCAGCGGTCACTCGCGCGCTCCCCGTTGGATCCGCCGACCCCTCCGCTTCCCCCGGCACACCCGGCTCCTCGTGGTTCGACATTTTGGTTTGAAGAAGGCGCGTAGCACACATCCCGCATAATATTGGAACAACTTTCTCTCCAATTAATTCTTAAATGTATTGCAAAAGGATACAAAAAAGCGGTTTGTTTTAACAACGCCCAAAAGGTTTTGATTGTTTTTCAATACTTTTACCTGTACTAGAACAGATGCGACGGCCAGCGACGCACAGGATAGGTTGCCGTTCCTTCGCTAAACGCAGGAACTGCTCCCCGCGTCGTAGTAAATCCTACCCCGTATCCCGCGCGTAGGGACGCCTCAGGGAATGCGTAGCTACTTCCGCTCGTCGGTGGTTGGCTCCGGACGTCGCTGAAACGGGTGACGGGTGTCAAGTTTGCGATGACGTAGCGGCGTCAAAGTGGGCAGAGCCGCCACGTGAGTGTTGCTGGGATACGCTCCTCCTTTGCATTACGTCACTTCCATGTACCTTTTCTCAAATGTCCAACCTAGCGATCCTGAGGTTCTGAGTAGCTGGCTCGTCGAAATGTCGCTTGGTTGGAGACGAGGGATCGGGGAACTCCGGGCGTAGACCCCGTATGCGGCTTTCCGCTGGATCCGCTCCAGAATGTCTTGTGTTGACGTGGATCGAGGGGACCAGATGGGTGAACAATATTCTAGGATGGGCAGAACAAGGGCGGTGTATAGTTTCGCCATCACCATGGGTCCTAGGCCCCTGCTGATATTTTGTATGAACCCCAGCAGACGGCGGGAACGCGATGCAATGAAATGAACATGGTTTGAGAAGGTTACCCTGCTGGAAATGGGCGATGTGAAATGAGGCCAAAATTCACATTGAACCAATGTGCAACTGTAGGTCCAGACACATTGAGCAATATGCATTTATGAAACAAAAACCTATGTGCACCAATTGGTAATCCTTTAGGGAATTCACATTGGGCTGAATTGGTAATCCTTTAGGGAATTCACATTGGGCTGATTGCATTTATGAAACAAAAACCAATGAGCAGCAATTGGCAACAGGTACCCCAGTGCACATTGCATTGAGGGTATTTATGGGGCAAAAACCAATGAGCAGCAATTGGCAACAGGCCCCCCTGTGCACATTGGATTGATGGTATTTATGGGGCAAAAACCAATAAGCGGCAATTGACGACAGGCACCCCTGTGCACATTGGGTTGATGGCGTTTAGGGGGCGAAAACCAATGAGCGGTAATTGACAACAGGTGCCCCGGTGCACATTGGTCTGATGGTACCCAGTCAACCAGCAACCGTCTATTAAACATCCGAGAGATGTGTTGTTCGGACATTTAAAGGGATACTGAACCAAGGATTTTAGTGTCCATAATAAGTGGCGCACGTTTTTTCCACGAGCCAGCAGCCGCAGGTGTGCGCGAGCACACGCAACAAAAACGACGTCACAGACCTCCATTCGTTAAGATGAGAGTGAAATGTATGGGCTTCGGGCCGAAGGAGAATAAAGAGAAGTTTTTCATCTACACAGTGCTGTCTGGTGTAAAAGGTAAGCGATTAATTGGTCAAACAAGCACCTAGCTTTCACTTGCAAAGATGAAAAGCCTGTCTTTATTCCCCTTTCGCCCGAAGCCCATACATTTCACTGTCCTCTTAGGCGCGAATGGAGGTCTTTGACGTCATTTTTGTTGCGTGTGCTCGCGCACACCGGCGGCTGCTGGCTCGGGGAAAGAACGTGCGCCACTTATTATCGACACCAAATTCTTTGGTTCAGTATCCCTTTAACATATCCAGTGGATATCTGCTACGATTCATCCAACATTGAAAGTGTCTACTGTGCAGTGCAAAGTGCACTGCACAGTAAACGTACCACTAACGCAATCTAGTTGATGCAGCTGGACATTCAGGACCATTGTAGGATGTTCAGCCTGATCCTGTGGATGTACCATGTACATACCTCAGAAATATTACCTTTCCTGGTATAGGGACCAGCCCTATGGCAGGAGGGCAAGGAAGTGCCTAAGCAGCCTTCATTTTATGCTAGCATATAGCGTGTAAACTGTCCTACAGAAAAATTTAAACGGATAAGAGTCCAATTCTTTACAAAACAAGAGCTCAGAGGGCAGATTTGCTGTATGGCCCGTGCATGCTCTCAATGTATACCCAAATGGCGCATTACAGATGTATAATGTAGCAATCAGGCCCGCAGCAGACATTCTTTATATTGAAGTTTATTTTTCACCATCAAGCTCAGAAGCTTTACCACAGGATCAATGCAGACGACACTGACAAGGAAGGCGACACTACTGATGCTAACTCGTTCCAGTGAGGTGGACCTCGCCACATGCGAGAGAACTGAAATACTGGACACAAACATTGTCATAAGCTATGACGAACGGCCCCGAGGAATTGACTACTGAAGTCTAAGGCTTCAGTAGTCATATGCTCTAGTGACGAGGACACCAGAATTCCATGAGAGCTGTAGCACCGACTGCATGGCGAAAGATGCCGCTGCAGTCTTGCAGCGAAACTTTGAACGTGAGTAGCACACTAAATTCCTGCCCAGCCTGTCAGGCATGCACATCCGTTCTGTAGAAAAAGCTGCAGTGCCAAACAAATCGCCATTAACTCTTTATTGTTACTGTTAGACAGACGAGCAGTGCTTGATGCTTTTAAAATAAAGTATAATTTTTGAACAATGCTGCATAGACAGCATGAGGTTTTCAAAATAAAGTATACTTACTGAACAATGCAGGATACTTTGCTTAAAAAAAATGTCTGATAAACATAATAAAAAGCTCCGCGCATTCAAGGCCCACTTAAGGCAGTTCACATCTCTCTCTCCCGTGGTGCAGAATGTTCCTGAAAAGCAACGAAAAAATGTTACGTTAAAGATATGTGAGCAGTGGTTTACCATTCTTTGAAACAAAACTAATAAAACAGTGAAGTTCAAAGTTAAGTGACTCAAATATGCAAGAATTAGAACTGATGTAAATAAATCAAAAGTATTTTATGCCTTGTTTTTAAAGCACATTCATGCTGGATGTGTGTACTGTATTGCCAACTTTTGTTTGTTAGATTTACATCAAATATCAGTGTTCTTAAAATTCGTTGTCTATGCATTCTTTTTAATCCATAATAAGGTACTATTACATAATGAAAATTTTCCTCTTAGAGAAACACTCCAAAGAAATTTTTTTTATTTAAAATTATTCAATACTGTTCACACCTGTAGTATTTCCTCTCAAATTAAACCAAAAAAGGTGTCACTGGCTTCAATATTTAAAGCATTCAAATAATCTTATATAGAAATTATGCTTTGAAGAAATTGCACACCATACTTACTGTTCTAGAAAAGTTTGATTTTTGTGCTAACATCAGCTTAATAAGACCAGCTTACCATTTGAGATGACTGATGTCAGGCAGGTGCGTGGCGAAGTTAATCCGTGACCATGGTTTCTACCTTGAAGTCTTCACATTTATGGCAGCTCTGCACTGCATCTGATAAAAAAAAAAAAGCAACAGACGCACGACACCAACAGCTCCATAAATCTGATTCCATGTGTGAAGCGATCTGCAGTACTTTTCCAGAGATTACTTACTTATGATGCACTCAGCAAGGTGAAGGTTCCTGAATGTCAACTTTCTCTTACGTCCTTCCCACAAAAATTTTCGCCCCAACTGGTCAGTCAGCAACCGTTTCGTGATCTGTCTCGTACAGGAAGCATAACCAGATCCGCAGACTTTGCTGAGCTGTCGAACATAAAAAAACATCCACATGGCAACCGCTTAGTGCAATCATAACTATTGATTGGATGTTTCTGTTTATTTTTAGTCAACCTTGGCAGGTGTTTATCGGCATCCATTTCTTCATTAAATGTGCTGCAAAAATATTTCAAAAGCCGGGAATCATAATGATAAAAAAACCTGCACCGACTTTACTCAACAAGATTAACAATTTAGTCAAACGTTTCGTCTCCCATGTGGGAAACATCGTCGGTGAAACCTTGAAGCAGGAATGAGCGAAAGAAACTTCAACAGTCCTATTTAAGCAAGTCCGCATACACATTGAGGAGGGGGCCGCAGCTGGAGTCACAAGCTGATCAGTCATTTCGGATGAACCATGATTCTACGAACCTGCTTGGACCCCACCTTTGTTCACACGCCAGAGTGGACGCATTCTCAAAGTCGAAACTGTGTCCCGTATTCCAACAATGGTCTACGAGTTCCGTCTTCGCTCTTGTCGCATGCGTGGCCTTTGCCATGTCCCTTTTGTGACTCTCATTTAGCTTTAAACAGCATTGAATCATCAATCCAATTCACACATGAAGTTGAACAGAACGGTGCAAAGCCTTTTCTGTATGTTAATGTGTTCCGAAATAGTACCAGTCGCTTATATACAACAGTGTACCGCAAAGCTGTGATACAGGCAACCTCTTAAGCTTTAACTCGCATCATTCTGTCGAACATAAAAGGGCTGTCGTAAAAAACCTACTACACCGGTCCGAACGCATTTCTTCTAATCCTCAATTGCGCGCTTCAGAGAAAAAAGTCAAATTTGGGGGATTTACGTGCTAAACCAACGACGGGCATCTGGCACGCCCCAGCGGAGGACTGAGGATTAATTTAGACTACCTGGGGATCTTTTGACGTGCAACCGAAAGCTCGGTTACACGGCGCCTGCTCCGCAATAAGCCTCCGCCACATGGGGATCCGTAGGCCAGCGCTCTCGCCTCGGAGCCACCGAGGCGGCTTGTGCGCTTCTGAGGATGCTGTTATTGTTGACCTGCTGATGAAGCGGAATTATCCGAAACGTTTTATTGATAACACGCACAAACAGATGGGACAAAGAAGTCAGGATAATGGACAACTTAGGACAGGGCAAGCAACAATACCCTATTTGAGAGGTGCTTTTGAGTCCATTCGCAGGGCCCTCGCCCCTTTGAATATCCGCACAGCTTTCAAACCCCACCATAAACTATGTGACTTCACTTCGAAACCTAAAGATTACACCCCCCCAGAGTCCCAGTGCAGTGTTGTGTATAAAGTGAACTGTCTAGACTGTGACACATCCTACATTGGGGAGACAGGCTGGAAGCGCTGCACTCGCCTAAACAAACACAGCGAAGACGGAACTCGTAGACCATTGTTGGAATACGGGTCACAGTTTCGACTTTGAGAATGCGTCCACTCTGGCGTGTGAACAAAGGTGGGGTCCACGAAGGTTGGTGGAATCATGGTTCATCTGAAGTGACTCATCAGCTTGCAACTCCAACCGCGGCCCCCTCCCCCGATGTTTATGCGGACTTGCTTAAATAAGATTGTTGAAGTTTTTTCGCTCATTCCTGCTTGAAGGTTTCACTGATGATGTTCCCCGCATGGGAGACGAAACGCTTCATTAAATTGTTAATCTTGTTGAGTAAAGTCGGCGCAGTTTTTTTATCATTAAATTTGCTACTAATATTTATACCTGCTCTTATTGAGGCACTTCCGACGTTTAAACTGAGAAATTTTGACGTCTTTATCTCAATATGGCGATTGGATTAAAGATTATACCACTGGGCACGGGCTCGGGCTTACCCGAAAGCCCAGGCCTGGGATGGGCTCGGACTTTTGACTGTGGGCCCGGGCCGGGCTCGGGCCAGCACGTTGATTGGCCTGGTTCGGGCCAGCACGTTGATTGGCCTGGTTCAGGCTCGGGCCAGCTGTAATTGACCATGATGCTGACAGAGGCCATCGTAGAAATCGGCGTCTCGGTTATCTCAGCAACATCAACTCCAGAACCACTAGACAAGTACCCATGAATGTAGGCCCACCTTAAGACAGTGGACGGCAGCGTCGTTAATCATGAGGTGAGCTTCAGGTTAATCCCAGTGGCGTGATGTTTTTGCTTGTGGTGATAAATAGCGGCAAACCAAAAATAAACGGACATTGAAGCGCTCTGTCAGGAATTAAAAATGGGGGACTCAAAAACATTAACGCTAAACAATCTCACCCTAATTGATCATGAGAAACACTTATCTCTCTCGAATAATAGCTGGGAAGCGCTAACATAGCGGCAATGATGTAGTGGGGAAGCTTACAGGCCTAGTAAACAATTATACACATACTGGGGAATGCCTGGCACATATTCAGGTATGAATACATGCTCAGATCTACGAAATATTTTAGGAGAAGATACAAACTGCAAATTAGTAGTCTTTCTTAGAAAACACATTGACGCATCTTAATCACAGTCCTAAAACCCATAAAAACACTTGATTACAATTATTTTAATAAAAAAAAGTTCTGAATATGTACATGACACCAGCAGTCATAACTTTGATTTAGTTCATCGCAAGCTATATTTCTCTGGCAGCAAACGAAGACAAACCTTTTAACTGTGCAGTGAACCAGAATTAATACAATACAACGAAGTTTCCGTATACCACTTTAAAATAACCACAAACAACGCTTTTCAGATCAGTATGTTTTGCTATAAAAGGCTTATTATAAAGCCATAGTCCTTACAGTATATTATAAAGCTTTTAGTCTTGCTGCATCCAGTTCTGGCTTTGCTTAGCCTTTGTGCGGTTTGAAGGTCTGCCGGTTACAATTCGCCAAGGAGGCCATCTGTGGCGGAGATAATTACCAAACCTTACCGGATGAACATTGATTCCCTCTTCAATTTGAGAACTTTTGTGTGTGAAGTCTTGTTGAGCCACATGCCATTGCCAATGCACACATAGAAGACAAACTTCAGTTCATCTTTGAAGCAGCACTATGTACAGGAAATTTACCAGCGCAATATTCGTGACTCCAGCGAAATCGACGCCGCGTAGCTCAGGAGAGGAGGTTGTCCCGACTCTGTCGTCTGCTATCGCTGCTTGGTTCTCGTAGGCAGCATAGAAACAAACATTGTTTCCAGTAATTATTTTAATGATTCCACCGCGTCCTTCCTACGCACTGAGTAGACGAATGTTTCTAGGGTCGAAAAATCGCTTTGCATTCAAATGTAACACCGATTTTACGCTGCAGTGCAGGAATTTGTGATGGTCCGCATGCTGAACAACGAAAACGACCTTCCTTCGTCCGAATTTTGCCTGAGCAGCGCGCCATCTATAGTTCGCTGGAGTCGCGAATAACCTGGACTGGGATTGAAAACAGGGGTCCTATTTGTCAACGGCATGCCTCAAAATTAATTTTGTTGATGAAAAAAAAAATTGTAGCAATATTTACGCGGCAAAACGCAATTTGAGTTTGGCACAAAACCGAACCGGTGTAACTAGCAGGTATCCTTCTTACCTCATTACTATCAGAGTTAACGATTTGAATGATTCGACGTGATCCCTCACCCTCCTCCTCTTCTTCATCTCCTCTCTCTCCCCCAACGAACTAACAAACAAACACGCACGCACGCACGCACGCACGCACGCACACACACATACCTCTTCTCCAAATAGACACAGACTGCGCCACGCCTTGACAGATATAATTCATTCTAACCTTAAGCCTATCAGTACAGAAAAAATGTTAAAACACATAACCTTTACCTAGTTTCTGGGCATATGAAAACAAACACACGGCACCCCTATCAATGAAATTCCTTGTACTTGCGGCGGCATAACTAAAGAAAATCTCAAATTTAAAATACGTCTTATGAATTGCTTCGCAAGCGCGAAAATGAAATTACAATTACCTGTCTCATACAAGCTTCCTCCAGCCCTCCCGGGCAGTCACTCATCTCGTCGGAGGTACTAGCACCCGCTTACTGTCACTGGGTTTCCGCGTCACTCTGCGATCCTGAAACAACCGGCGCCGAGAGTTACTCCCACATATTGTGCTTAAAGCTGCAATTTTTAACTTAAAGGAGATGGTCACTAGACTGGGCACAACGCGTGTGGAGACTAGAACTTACCAAACAACTTTAGGATCCGCGCCTTGAAGAAGTCAGATTCCGTTTCGTCACAAGGCTTGACGGGCAGAAATTTGAGATGATATGTGGCTCATGGTCGTCCTCAAGACGTACACTTGCATAATCGTTCGTAAAATTCCGGCCGCTCAACTGGTCTCGACTCTGCAACGTGCTTCAAGCGGTTAGACTTCCCGCGAACGTTGCCTCGGAAGCTTCGGTTCTTCTTCCACGCTTCCTTGTCCTCCGGCCGGACCGTTCGGTTTATCACGTCGGACCACTTCCTGACGCAGGGGATGTATCACGTGACTATAATACTTCGTATTTTAACTCTTTTTTTTGTTTGCTGAAGTAAACGAATACTTAAAAACTTTACTTATTGACATTAATTTAGCAAAAAATTTGCATAAATTGCACTTTGAAAACTTATTTTGGTTTTATATGTCATGCGGGATGCATGCGGGTGACCCCACTGTTCACTCTACTGACTCCAGCTCACTCTATATTGTCACGTGGTGTAACCCGCAAGCCCGCAAGTGTGACTGATGCACTTAAGAAAATAATAAACGTTTCTAAAAATTATGGTATTATTTAATTGTCAAATGTAAATACTGAATATATATTAAACTTATAACGGAGTAATTTTTATTTGTCATTTTAATTAGAAAATTGCATTTGCTGCGGGACGACGTCGGTGCGAATTTTAAAATTTGGATTTGAGACACGTAGGGTGTCGCGCTGTGCGACCATGAACCCAAACAAAAAAATATACTTGGAGCCACTAAGTATACCCAGCTTGCCAAGGACAACAGTCCTGAGACGAAGTTGTGTCCTGAAAAATGCTACAACAGGCCAGGGACCAGAACCAACGTCGCCGACAGCAGTTTCTGTAAGCTCGGTTGTCTCGGAACACGGTGAGACAAAAACTCCCCGTGAACTAAGTAGTACCAATGAAACCAGAAGCGGTCACAGTACTGGGCCAGTTAGTGAAGACACAAGTGATAAAATTGTGAAAGTGACGGGAGATGTGAAGACCAATTTCCTGTCCAAGTTTCCGAAAAGGCTACTGCCAAAGACGAATGTAACGAGTCTGACGTACCCTAATTCGGCTGGCCTTCATTTTAATTGGACGCAAAATAAAGGGCTTTTGAATCTCGAAAACTTCATTGCTGGAGTGTACACTCTTCCCGGCATCAAGGAAAACTACAACATTGGGAAGCCAGAAGCCAAACTAAAGGCCCAAACTGCCAACAAGCGCGTAAAATGCCTTTCAAAAAGGAACTTCCTTGCTCAACTACAAAGTGGAAAGCGCTGCCTGACACTTACTGTGCGTGAAACAAGGTGCAATCATAAATTCGGGAAGGTCATCCTTATTTCGTGTGTGTGTATGTGTGCTGTTGCGACGGCCTTCACTGGGGGCTTTAAACTAAAAACAGAACGTCTTCCTGAAGCCACGAGACCATCTGGAATCGCGGGCCCTCGCAAGGAGAAACACCGGCGTACGTGTGCGTGCCTGTGTGTGTGTGGGTCTGTCGGTGTTGAGTTTCAGCAAGAACGTCGACTCCTTACATCAGCCACTGGAGCGCGGCAAGAACGTCGAGGGGTTACATCATCTGCCCCTCGCTGAAAGAACACCGGGAAATTGCCTCAGCCGCCCCCGCACTTCGGACACCTCGTGAACACTCCAACACCGGGGAAGGCTCCTCTCTCTCAGAGGGCCTTCTCGCCCTCGAAGGGCTATATAACTTGGGCTCAGAGAGCCCGAAGCCGCCGACTGCAGACTGCCGATTACCGATTAATTAGTCGACCATGCTCTTGTATATTCACTGTATATAAAAGTTCTCCTTCAGTACTCCCACTCCAGGCCTGTTTCCTCGGGGCCATGGTAGCAGCGAGCCGCAGCCCCAACTCTTGGTTCCGCGCCTGAGGTCGCCACCCTCCCGAACGCAACAGTGCGCGCATTTTATGTGCTTTTTTTTTTAATGACTTTTATGGTGTTAATAATTATTGGATGTTATTCGGCACTACCGGCTTTACTTTTCTGTTAATAAAAAGCATGCCCACGATAGAATGTGCACGTGATCTGCCGCCCCAGAACGAGCGCGTAGCCTCGACTAGGGCTCAAACAGGATGCGTTCACATGGCAAAATGAAAGCCTGAAGTATCGCATTTTTTCGCCAACTCCGCCAAAGTTTTAAAGTCCCGACGTCGGAAGTCGGAGAGCTTTGGACCAATCGTGAAAGATGATAATAGGATTTTTAAGTCAGTGTTATTCTGTTTTTGACCCGGTTTTACTCTGATTTGCTCAGTTCTGGAGCAAAATTTATACAAAAACGAGAACGTTCCACTCCGAAACCAGGTAAAACTGAATAAAACGGAGCAAAGTCTAATGTGAATACATAATCCAGTTGGTGCAATCGTTTACGCTATTACTGTTACTGAAACATCCTGGAAAACAAAAGGACAGAATACACCGCTAAAACTGCAGAGTTCCGATGATACCTGAATTTCGTGGCTTGTCGATATATAATTATTCATGAATCTTGTGCATACTATGTGCACACACAATGTTCCCGTTCCCCATAGTCTTTTCTTTATGTTTTACTGGCAGCCGCATGTTTTATAATACGAAGGAGGACAGTACGTAATCAGGAAATTCTAACACACGTGACAAAAAAGAGTTCATATTCACTTTATTAACTGAATGTTTTATTTAACTAGTGTCTACATGGCCCAACCCAAGTTATATAGCTAAAAAAAAATGTTTATTTGACAGAGAGGAACCCATCGGGCACGCACATATCTGCACGGGGGGGGGGGGGGGGGGGGGAGAACCATGGGACCTCCCCCCCCCCCCCCCCCCTCCTCCCAAACCTTTCATTTGGTGGGGCCTCCTTTCCCCCCTCCCCCTCATACAGTATTTTGTCATGGGCGAATCAAAATCCTGGCTGCGTGCCTGCCATCGGGTATATTTGCGGCAAAAATTATTTTCCTGTGCTCAAAACATAAAACTTTAGTATAGAACAACTCTAATTTCTCCACTAAGCATACTGTTTAACCTGATAGATGCCCACTTAATAGATTTTATGTTCTGTATTCCCAGTCGACCATTAAAAGTTCTCGATCCGAAATGCATTCCATTTCACCAATGAATCTTTCAGTTTAACCAGTACAACTTGTTATTGATCCTATTGAAGGACCAATAGGCACTTGTATTCCGGACCAGAAAACATTCGTGTTGTTCCCATAGAAGTTTCTATCTTGTCCCATAGAAGTTCCTGCTTGTCCCACAGAAGTTCCTAATGGTACAAGAGAAGTCTGTATTGGTACGATATAACTTTTTATCGGCCCAGTAGAAATGCCCATTGGTACGATGAAATCCTATTGATCGCATAAACATCTCTATCGGTCCCATAGAAAATTTTTGCAAGGGTGTGCTAATTTGGCGATTGAGCATTGTCACTGCCATACTGCACCGAGTTCACTTCTCTGCATTGCATGGCTCTTTGCTATCTCCCGTACAATGGCTCTGCCACATAGCGCCACTGGCTGCAATGAGCGGTAATGAGCAAACTGAGTGTCGTGCACATTGACACAATTGGCATCATGGCGCTTGCCCCCTAAAGTTGACTTTCCCTCAACGAATTCTTTGGCCTTCCCCCGTGCTGCGGCTTCTCTGCAGCATTTCCAGTTGCACCAATGTGCAAAACATCGGATTTTCTCATCGGCGCCAATTGCACATTCATGCTCATAGGTTTTGGCTGTGCATTTCAATTGGAAAAGGCCTGCCATTTCCAGCAGGGTGGTCCATATGTGTACCCTGTCAAGGTCCTGCTGAAGGTCATCATAATCTTTGGTTGACTTAATCGGTTCAACAAGTGTGAGGTCATCGGCATACAGTACAGGAGTTGAGCTTATGTGTAATGCTATGTTCCCGCTACGAGCGCAACGCGCCGATCTTTGATAGCCCACGCAAACGTAAGCGCAAGAAGCGGGACGATTTCGTTCAGGCTACAAGCCTTTAAAATAGACAAGAACAAGTATGTGAATTTTTCCCAGGCAAGAACAACAAGACATAAACACTGCAATACATTAACCGAATACTCTTTCAATAATAATACTTTTAGGTACTCTTTCTTTCCTTGAGCTGTAAGAGATTGGAACAGCCTTGATCCGCTATTTTTTAACTACACAAATGTGGATGTGTTCATTCAAGCTCATGAACAAGACCTTCTCAGCAAGTTCATGAGTTAGTTCTTTCTGTCATGTTCTGTTTTGTTTCAATATGAAAGGAAGTGACGATTTCTAAAAATTACTGTTTTTCGCGCGCCTGAAAATTGTGTGTTTTTATTTGTACCATACCTGCTATAATCCCTCAATGGGGATTGGTAGTATTTTGAAAATAATAAATAAATAAATAAGCAATCGTGGTCTGAATGAACTCGTTCCGCCTGTTGCGCTTAGGTTTGCGTGTGCTACGAAAGATTGGCACGTTGCGTCTGCGGAGTGAACATAGCATAAGACTCGTCAACATCTTAAAGAAATACTTCAACGAAATTTGAAATATTCCCGTCGTGTTCAAAAATAGGTTGAATATGATCCACAATATCCGTAAATGACAATCGCACGTTTGTATTTTGAGCCTGGTGGCTGTATTTTTCGTTATAAACGGCCCACTCTGGCAAGCGCTCGGAGAAGGCCCAGCGGAGACCACGTGACATTCAACGCAATCGTGACGTAGGTCGTCTCAAGACGAGCTGACGTCGAGAGGATGGCCTAGTCGTTCCAGCCACCGAAGCGGCTGCTTTTGTACGAATTTTGAGTGACGGGTTAATCCTCTGTAATCTTGTAGGGGGACAATAGCGTCTTTTTTTTTTTTTATGTAAGTAGCCTATAATTAGGGTTCCGCGTTTTCGGTTTCTATTATTTTTTTCAAAATTCGGCTTACTTTTTCGGTGTTTATTTTAAAATCATAATTTCGTTTTTTTTCGGCGTATATTTATTTCCACAAAATATTATCGGCTTTTTTCGGTGAATATGAAATAAACACCAACGTACACCGGATATGATGATCCTTGTAGCTTTGATATTTGTGATCACTCAAAGAGTAGCGGCACAGATGCACTGAAAAAGAAATTGACACTTTATTTGGCAAATGTGTGCAACTGTAAAAGAAACAAACAAAAACAAAAAAAAACAAAACAAATACAGCCAAGTTATATATGAAGCCTATGTCCAAAAAAACATGGAACCTTACCTTCTGCATATCCGGATTACGTGATCTTATTATAGTACGCACACACGTACTTTCGCATGTTCTCGT